ACCAGCCCTACTTAAGATAACTTTTTATTATGCTGTCTCTATTGTCTTATTTGATATACACAAAACCACTAATGCCTTTTTTAAAAAAGGAGATAAGAATTGAGGGTGTTGGTCACAATGGATCTTTAGCTTTTATGTTTAAACATCAATTCCATTTGAAGTTGATTTCACAAAAGTAAATCATAATTTGTAAAGTAAAACATGACTACAAATTCTGTTATTAGCTATTTTTGAAGAGAGACAGTGTGTCATAAAGTAAAGGGACTTATTTTTATGAAAGTAACAATAATAGTTTGTAAAACTTTGTCTAAATGAGTATTGCCATTTTCTTTAATGGTCTTTTATTTAATAGGCTTTATACTAAATTTAGTTTTGTCAGCATAGCTAATATCTAGATTGTTTCTGAATAAAAAAATAGTTTACAAATTTCATGCACTTACAAAAAAAGCCATGTAAATGTTTTCAGTTGCAAGATATTGTTTTTTTTTTTGTGTGTGTGTGTGTGTGTGTGTGTGTGTTTCATTTTTCCATGATTTTCTTCATATTTCTTTTCTTTTTTTCTTTTGGTGGACCATACTTTGTGTGCTTTAAATTCTCTGTTTTTTTCTTTAAAAAACTTTCAAGTCAACAGAAAAATTTAAAATTCTATTTAAGGTTCAAAAGACTTTCTTAGCTTAATTCCTTAAACTGAACCTGAAGTCTAAGAATAGTGTTTGCTGATATATGTCAGCAAGCAAATCATCTCATCTCTATAAATACATTTTCCCCCTTCTTGAGGGATAGAAATAATAATATAAATGAGAGAACAGCTTAGGATACTATTAATCAAATCATGGCAAATCCCTCTTTACCTAGATAAACATGGAGAATATCTAGATACTAAATTTATAAGGATCAGTTTTTGTGAATCACCTTGGAACACAACAAATAAAAAATTAATAATGGCTTAGACTACAGAAACAGCAGTAGAAATTGGTAGAGTTGAGAGTTTGGAGTTGATTTCATAGAATTTGCTCATGTGAAAGATGAAGAAGAAAGAAAAAGGATAATGCTTGTTTTTATGATGAGCAGCTGGCTGAGTACAGAAATTGTTGGATAAAGGGAGCTGCTTTATGCAAGGTTATACTGTGTCCCTGAGGACAGCCTGGCCCCTTTTGCCTCAATTTAGGACAACTCTGAAGAGTCATCCCAGGTTTAGAGCTCTCTAAGGAATTGAAGTTGCGTCACAGTTCAATTTCCTCTTCTTCCACCCAGTTCTGTTTCCCTTATTTCTTTATCAGTCATATTCCCAAGAGCTTTCTCCTGTATTCCTTACCCTAATTTTCCATCTCAGATTCTGTTGCCAGGGAACCTAACCTAACAGTGCAGCCATTTGCAATGTCAGTTCTCAAATTAGGAGGTTTTTTTGAAAATCTTTTTAATTTTAAAATTAATACACTCTTTACATATGAATAATATATTTTGTGAAAAATAAGTTTTCTAAAAATAATAATAGTGGCTTATGTATATTATATAATTTTAGAGATATCTTTAATTACTTCATGGAAGATAACCAGGTTCTCCTATC